ACGTGGAATGGCAGCAACATTTGGATAATTTTCAAGTTGTGCGCTCGTCCCTTAATAAACATGAGTTTTGGAGCTAAGCACCCAGGACACTAAAGAGAACGAGTATGATATACCGGGGGTTAAGATTTAATGCTACAAAGATTTAATAGGTAGGGAGCCTGCTTGCAGTGGCAAGGCGCTTGCCATGATTGAAAGTTTTAATGATGTCCATGTACGTCTTAGTTTGCCGGTAATTTATAAAATTTATTATCCTATTATTGTTGTTTCTTCACCAGCACAATCCTAAAGAAGTGTGTACAGAATTGAACAAACTTGGTGTAGACGCATTTCAGGGATCCACCTCGCTGTCTGTTATAGAACCATCAAATGGTAACAATATTATCAATTACCTTAGCGATCTGATTACACACTACCCGAAAGAAGCCAAGTTTATTCTGGATCATGTGCTATACCTACCGGTACACCGCCAGGTGCCTTACCACCATCTGGACAGGATCATACTCGCTATGGAGTTGGTGATGAATAAGCTCGCGTATGAGAAATTTTGCATCCCGCAGTTTGACTCTGAACAGATGTTTGTCAAAGACTCACCATCAAAGAAAGTTCCACATAAGATGTCAAAATTGTGAACTTTGGGTTTATTTATTTATTTATTTATATTATTTATTTATTTATTGATTTATCTATTTATTGATTGATTGATTTATTTATTTATTTATTTATTTATTTATTTGAGCTACCAACAGGTTTCCCCAATTACAGGCACTCATAAAATACAACTACAAAAATAATATAAAATAAAAAGAAAGACCCAAATCTCAACTTATAGCATTTAAAACAGATGTCTTCAAAGAAGATAGACTCGTAAAAATGTTTACTGAATCAGCAATATAAATACAATTTAAAAAGTCAAGACATCAAGGGATAAAGTATATTTCCTGGGATTATTGTGACAAAAAAGTTCCAGGTGTTTGTAAGATTTCATATTAAGTGATCATAGTTTGGTGTAGGATTGATCATATTTTCATTAATTAATATACATACATTTTTCATGCATAGTAGTAATACCCATAGTTTTGTTGTTGGGTGTGTTAAAATATATGCTAAGTTTGCGAAATCCTGTATTCTTTACCAAAAATATTTATAGTATATGTTATGATTATTATTACAGCAGTTTGAGGTTGTTAGAATAGTTTAGGTGAACATACATGCATATAAATGAGCTTAATTTACATAATTAATGTTTTAAATAACTGTTATAGCTTTTCAGATACTATATGTAAGGGACAAGTGCAAGATCAATTACTTTTTAGCTCCGCTGTCGATTTTGTCGAGCGGAGCTTAACATATGAGTGATTGTCCTCCGTCGTCGTCGTCCGTGTCAATGTTTTACTTTTTCGACTTCTTCTTGAAAACTACAAGCCTGAATGCTTTGATACTTGGTGTATATGTACCTTGGGTAGACCTCTCTTAGGTTTGTTCATTTCATGTTGATATCTTCAATTCTCTAATTTTGGTGAATATTTTTGTCATTTTTGGTAAAAAGTGATATTTTTGACTTCTTGTTAAAAACCGCAAGTCCAATTGCTTTGATACAACATATATAGGTACTACATGTGGACCTCTCTCAGATTTGTTCATTTTGTGATGATATCTTCAATTCTCTAATTTTGGTGGATATTTTTGTAATTTTTGGTAAAAAGTGATATTTTCGACTTCTTGTTAAAAACCAAAAGTTCAATTGCTTTGATATTACATATATAGATACTACATACCTTTCTCAGATTTGTTCATTTCGTGATGATATCTTCAATTCTCTAATTTTAGTGAATATTTTTGTCATTTTTGGTAGAAAGTGATATTTTCGACTTCTTGTTAAAAACTGTAAGTTCGATTGCTTTGATACTATACATATTGTTCATTTTCTAATGGTGTCTTCAGTTCTTTAATTGAAATGTGCATTGCTAACAGCGGAGCTATCTCAGCCGATAGGCTGCTTGTTAATAGTAGTTATCAAGTGCATATTAACAACCTAATTTGCATATTAATTATTTTCTCTGAATCTGCAATATGGATTCTTTTTAGTGCAAATATTTCATAAAATTCATAATTTGATTAGTCTAAAAAACATATTTAAGTTTTATAATAGTACGCTGTCGCATCAACCTCCGCTGCGCGTCGGTCGATACTGCCGCTGTACTGTCTTCGTGCATACTTTGAGGTATCTTCGTAATAACCTTATTATTATACCTCTTTTCCTTCCAATGATACATCATGGGAATGCCGAAATCCAAAAAGTTTAGAACAGAATCAGCAAACTTGATGGTGTGGAGTCCGGTCAAATCCTGGTGGCAGCCATGTTTGTTTTTATTATTAGAGGATGCTTACGCGCGTAATCATTCCATATTTGGAATTCACATTTCCAAATATGGTAGTATGAAAATACCCCGTAAAATACCGCAAAATTACGGCACGCTGTAACTTATGGCGTTACGGTGACAGATGTATAATAATATTTATTACAGTATTTATAACAGCTTGGTCCTCAGAATTTGTTTACATTGAAATTCATTTAGACCGAAGACATAAGGAATAAAGATTTGGAACAGTGTGTCCTCTAACAAAACTCATTTCATGAATCAAAATAAAACCCCCGAAATAAAGTTTATTCAGCTTGTTGACTTCTTTGTGGAAGTTAATTGGTCTTGAAAAAAAAATACAATTATATTTGACCGTATAGGTACTATTGAGGCACAAACAAAATTGTTGTGATCCTATTTTCTTGATTTTTTAACTTCTTTTGTTTATAAAACGCGAGTTTCATATTACCAAATTCCATAACTATAAGATGTTTTTTAATATCACTATATCAATGTATGATTTTATGTTTTGATGACCTGATAGTGAATTAGAATCACAGCAAATCTCTGTATGTCCATGTATGTCATCGGATTAGAGAGCACACTGATTTGAAAGTGAATGGCATAGATTGTTTTAAATTTAAGATTTATTTTCGCTGGAATTAATTTTCACTGAAAAGGCTTTTTGGGCGTTTTGCTTGAAATTTATTTTCACTGATTTTTGATGAGTTTAATGTAAAATATAGGAAAAAAAGTATATTTGCTGGATTTTATTTTCACGGAATCATGCCTTCAGCGAAAATAGCGAAAATAAATTCCAAGCGAAAATAAAGTATTCTACAGTAGCTAATCTACATACAGTACAATGACAAAAATACATATCAGTACATATACCGGTATTGACTGGCTAACTGCAATGACAAAAGGTCAAATAACACTATTAAAATTCACTCTGCATACTGCCATTGATGGCTTTATATGAATGTAAAGATGAGATGGACAAATACAAATATTCAAAAATATAATACGAGACATACTAGCAAATTAAATGAGTTGTTTAGATAAAAGAAAAACAAATTTGTTTTTAAAAGGTGTTTGTTTCACAATGCATATGCACATAAACTGGGTCCCATTTTAACTAAGATGCCAAATTTGATAGTTGCGTCATATCAATGGCCAAAAAAGAAAAGGCACTAGGTTTCCAAGATAATTTCTGAGGACTGAGATCAATCCAGTAATTAGTGCATATCAAACTCCACTAGGAGAGAACATTGGGTTTTGATAAAATCATAATTCTCAAACATACCTGATGTGACTAACTGTTCGTTAATTATTTTTATTAGGAGATTGGAGCTAGATTTGACGCATCTTTAACATAATACATAGCAAATCAAGTGCCAGCTGTGTCTTTAATACAGGGGTAAATATTACAGTAAAATGACTAATTTTCACTGGGTTTAAATTTTGCTGATTTACAATTTCAGGCATAATCACGGTTTTATCATTTAGATAATGTGTTCAATACTCAATTTAACATATTCACTGGGTTTTAATTTTGGGAATTTTTCTGTCAGCAAAATTAAAACCCAGTGAATAATTAACCCTTTTACAGTAAGTCGTATTGGATGTGTCCTTCAATTAAAATGCCTATTCCAATCATGTTAAAATTGAAAATGTTCAATTCAAAAATACCACTTTTGTCATGAAGTGGCAAAACAAGAGAAAGGTTGATATAAAAGCTGCCTGGCTTACCTGGAATGGAATATTAAAGAACATTTAAGCAGATTAGTTGGGTATTGTTAAAAATAACACCTGCAAAAAGTCAGTACCCTTTTATGACAAGCCATGATGCATTTTAGCAAAAAAACACCAATCAGAAAATAACACTCTAATAACGCTCTATAATACATATGCCTTCAATATAATTTATTTGTAAAAATTACAGAAGTATATATTACAAATGTATGTAGTACCTGATACTGTAGAAATAACACAAGAACTTTGGTGAAAAAAATAAAAATGTGATACAACATATATGGCTTTGTAATGTCTCAAGATAAAATGTACAATACGTACAATTTCCGTTCAACTGCAAGATCTCGTGAGTTGCCGATCTTTGACAGGGGAATATTGAGTTTGAATACCATTTGACATATCTCCCTTTGTCATAATTTCGTGAAACATGCTTGGAACATTGCCAACATTTTACAAGATTTGCTATTATTCAAGTAACAATATTTTGTTTCATCAGTTATGCTACATTGTTGTCCAATGTAAACTTGACAACTGCTTTAAATATGACGAAGATATTCATAACAGTTTCGGACACGTCCATTTTAACAAACATCTAAATTCTATCGCTTTCCCTGTCAGATTTAATTTTTTCACCACCAGTTTCCTCTTTTCATCACAAATTCACAAAATGCTCCCGTTTATTAGTCTGCCCTTATCTTCAGAAGACTGGAACAAAACTGGCCACATTTTTGTAAATTTAAAAACTGAAAATTAACTCAAATTTTGTCTGGCTTTAAACTTAGGGTTCATTTCCAGAAATATTGAAGAATATGAGGAAAAATTGCAGAAAAATTTGAGTGAGAAAGTCTAGTGATAAAAAAGTTAATATTTTTGTTGGCTTATGATGTACTTTAAATACTGTGGAATACTTTATTTTCGCTGAAAAAGCTTTTTGGGCATTTTGTATGGAGTTTATTTTCACTGATTTTTGATGAGTTTAATGTGAAATGTAGGAAAAATTGTATATTCGCTGGATTTTATTTTCACTGAATCATTCCTTCAGCGAAAATAGCGAAAACTAGTTCAAGGCGAAAATAAAGTATTTTACAGTAGTGAAAACACAGTATTGACTGATTATGTTTGTTAAAATACAACCTTTGATACTAAATCCATCTTTGCAATTTATACATCATGATAAAAGCTTGGAAGCTTGTTTATATGACAGGTAAACAAACATTTCAAATGGAAGATAATTGAATATCACTGTAACCACGGTGACCATGTGCGTTGGGATCCAAAGATGAGAAAATTAAAAGCAGATAGTGTAAATAAATAGTATAAAAACATGTATCAAAATAAATTCACCCCTGGCATACATTCCAGCAACAAACAAAACTAAACATACTAAAAAAATCAATATATAATACACACAAGTTATACCTGGTATTTGCAGTACTGCAAGAATTAAAAAAACTTTAAAATATTTTAAAAAGAATACTTTTAAGGCATTCTTCAGAGCAGACAATCCAATAAACTGCCACTGATGTGCAAACCTTATAAATACAGAAAGAGAAAACAAAACAATAGATATTTTTAGGGCAGGGGATAAAAATGAACGAGTCAACAATTTGCACTAGATGCAGATCAGTATGGAAATAGCGCCCTCTATGATGAATGTTGTGTAGGAGGGAGATACAGATTTCAACCAAACCTCTAATCAAGCCCTACAAACGTACAGTAAAATAAACACATTTCAAATACTTGTACATAATCTACCCAATATATTATTGATAAAATATTATGATTTTACATTTGTTGAAATATATAATATTACCTTGTATGTTTCTTACTGTGTGTGTATATATATATATATATATAAATATCCTTCACTTTTAAATTCAAGTTTATTTCAACATAAAATATAATTATCATTTAAATCTCGGCTGGCAATGATCGATACAGTTGCCATAACAATCTGTGACAGTTAGTACCGAAAGCAGAACAAAATATGTGATTAAGATCAGGGCTGATATTGGAAAAATGGAAAAGACGAATCCGAATCCAGGACATGGCTGATTCAAAATATTGGAAGCACAATTGTTGAATGTATGATGGGGTGGGGGTAGGGGTATCGTTTCAATTTGGTGAGCATCAATTTCCAACATCAACACAGTGCACTGCAAATAATGCCAAAATACAGCTGTCAATTTTATTAATGTGTGATATTTAAAAATATACAATTTCACACTATTGGTGCCAGTGTTTGTTTGCAGAGTTTATGTTCATGACATTCCCCTGAAAGCATGCAACTTCCATAGTTGTAACAGTCACACTGATTTTTCAATGTGATATTCAGTTGCCTTGTGTAATTTAAAAAAAAAATCATTAAAAAAAAAAAGTTGAAAGCCACATCATAAGGCGACTTGAACACAGTGTCATTGTAAATTCTGTTACATTGCACCATAATATTTTCCATTATTTGTCCCTTCAAAATTTTCCTGGACTTTTTCCACATTATTTCTTTATTAATGTTTGACCAAATGGAGGTACCAGTAATTTTTTACACAGTTGACATGTCTTGATCAATTTTCTTGAAAAAATATGAAAAAATGGGGGTTTATTTTTGTGAAAGATAACAAAAATGGACTCATGCACGTTCAACAATCAGCATTCAGTCTGGTCCTCCTCAAGTATTAAATCCACAAAGGAATTTTCAGTCCTGTAATTGTATCTTGGTGGTTCACAACGAATCGGTGTCTGTGTAGTCTTTTTAACTGCTGCATGATCTTGCCTGAAAATTTGCTCATCTTCCACAATGATCATATCACTGTAAATGGGGTCATTACTGTTTATAAAATCCATTCTTTGGTTGACTGACTGAACAGTGATGTTGTCGTACTGTTCATCATGACTTCCTGGCAGAGTAACACTTGGTTTGCTTGAATTAGGTTTCTGGCCAATGTTGCGCGTTGGCAGGAAAGAAGACAGTGTGACATTTGTAGTCCGTGGATTTGACGATGAATCAGAGAGTATTAATCTACTACTACTTTCACTTGTCCATTCATTTGCATATGGGACGTGATTGGACACAGATTTAGTTGTGGGGCCTGCCCATGAATTCCTGATAATTGGAGGACTGTTCTGTGCAATGTATTCAGAATTGCTTGATACAACTTGTTCAAAATTATCCTGCGGTGAATTTTCAGAAGAGTTCACAAAAAATATTTCATGACTGGTTTGCACATCAGGTTCAGATTGCTTTTGTTCGTCAGGGTCAATGCTGCCGTGTGTGGCATTTTCAACAATTTGTGGTACACAATTTTCAACATGGTCATGTAGGTTGTTTTCAATAATTTCCCGTGTAGAGCGTTCAATGCTGTGCTGAACAGTCTTTCCAACATAGCTATGTGAATTATTTGCAATACTGTCTGGAGCAGTATTTTCAACGCTGTGAGACACAAGATTGTCAACATCATCATTTCCCGGTACATTATTTAAAACACTGTCCTGTGGAGTGTTTTCAACATGGTTATGACTATGACTTTCAATGATTTCCTGTGTAGTTTTCTCAATGTTTTCCTGCGCAGTTCTTTCACAATTATTTTCTGCAGAAGGTTCAGTTTTTATACTCGATTCATTTTCCACTGCTTTTTCCTTATCTTCAGATTTCTTGTGCGTTTGCGGAGTAGAAAATGGCCGCCGTCTTCCCAGTCGTCTTCCTTTATTAAGACCTTCAAATCTTTTCCCACCATATGGGGTGTATGTTTTCGGTTTCCCAATCGGCTGTTTGACATTAGTTGTTGGCGTACTGTTTTTATAACGGTTATAATCTCGTAAAATCTGACGAATAGACTTTAGGAATGAATTTTTGTCTTCTGTTGTACTGAGAAAATTAAAACAAAACATTATAAATAAAAAAAAATTAGTTGCTATGGTTAATATGAAAACATCTTTCATAAAATATCAGAAAACATGAAGAAATTTGTTGCCGTTATAATTTTATTGATGTGAGAAAAAATGACTATCCTGTCCCAATTTCCCTTTCCCAATTTTGGTTCAACAATTTTTATGTATTTTTTATTATTTTTCTCAAATAAATATAATTTTCCATTGCCAACAAGTGAAAGGTGACAAAAGTTGACCTTTGTGTTTTGAGGGATTGAATCGTGTAAGTTTATAACAGTGACAATTTATCTGTAGTACTTGACACATGAACACATTAATTATAAAATGAAAGTAAAATACCACAGGTGTTGCAACCCTTGTTGTTCAATATTGTAAACACTGTCTATTTTTCCAAAAAAAAATTCAGACAACACATTGACACTTTAACCCACACCAAGACAGCATGTGTGATTAAACAATACGTGATTTTTTCTTCACTACAATATCTTGCTTATTGCGTGTAAGACGTGGACTGAACGTTTGCCACAAAAATCGAACGAATTGATTTACTTCTTCTTCTTATTTTTTTTTTTTTTCAAAGTTTAATATGATTGTCCAAATTCTGATTTTTCAGAGGGAAATATGGCACTTTTACTATATCAAAACTGAACAACATCTAAAATGACTGGCACATAATTAAGCGAGGAAATACATAAAAATTACTTGTGTTTGTCAAATCCCACACAATGTTTTGACGTCACTATGGTGATCACCTTTGTTTGTTTTGTATTTGTTTTCTCACATAACACTGAATCTCACAGAGAACGGGAAATGAACTATTATGATTTACGTAAACCAGGATCGGGTGTTACGTAACCAAAGTATATCTGACAACCTATAGTGAATTGTCATGCATTAATTATACAATATCGCACATGGATCTGTGCAGTGTGCTTCCTACTCTGTGAATCATCAAACACAAAGTATGTGGTTCCAGTTTAAACATTGAATTAAGGTCTCATGGGTGCCAAATTTAATCAAGAGATAATTCTTGATGCACAACTGGAAAGTAAAGATAAGCCTTACATTCAAGTATATAAAATGTGTCTGAAAAAGGTGCCTGAACAGCGCCCACCCTCCCCTCCCAATCTATCTTAGACTTACTTGCATGAAAGCACAAACACCTTTTCTGGCCTCCCTTCAGTCGTTGATTTGGTTTGAAGTAATTCCCACATGCATCTATAATCAGTATCTGTGGATGATAAAAGTTATAGTGTTTAGAGAAGACGAAAAACATAATTTATTTCAATTAACAGCAATCAGTAGATGGTGTTGCTTTCTAGAGTCTTTGCATTGAGAATTGCATAGAAATATCACCAGCAAAGCCACCAGACATTATGCAAATTATCTAATTAATATGCAAGCTTCATGAAAACCAGTTGCTTTTCTCTGAGGATAATAACAAATGTACCTGTAATCAAATGATACACATTATGCAGGAAGAGGGCAATGACTTCTGACAGCAAACAAGCAAAAGTGTAACATTTTCAAATTTTTTTAAAAATAATTTCTTTGTTGATTTTGAACTACCAGTAATAGAGACAATTTCTAATTGGCTATAAGCCATGATCAAAATTTTCAACAAAAAAAATATTTTGTGAAAGATGACAAAGAATACTAGTATGTAATTCACAACGATTAGATCGATTGGATGTATAAGTCAATGAACATATGGGCTTTGACCAATCAGAATTGAGGTTATATATCAATTGAGAGGGAAACCGATTTAAAGATGACCTACCATTGGTTGTACTATTCCTCACTTGTAATGAAGCTACTGGTATAAGTCTTTTAAACCTAATAATGACATCCCCAACAAAATTACTGGTTGTTGACCCCCGTAAACTCGGACTGTACAGAGATGAAGATAACTTGCTCTTCTTTCTTACCCTCTCTTTGCATATCAAAACCACAGCTAGACGGAACACTGTAAGAAACAAACAGAAATATACATTCAAAGTTAACCTTTTCATTGTCAATTTTTTTTTAATAATAATAACCTAATTGCATCCTTAGAAATACAATGTTTCAATCAGTTAATAGCAATAAAAATTAGTTGTGATAACTACTACTACAAAAAGAAAGTTAGTTGTTAATAGGATAACGCAATTTTGATCAAATCACAAATTTTTATTGAAAACTCACTTCATCTAAAATACTTTATTACCATAGCTGTACACAGAAGAGGGCTTCGTATTGCGATTATTTTCATTATAATTTAATAACAATAAAATACTTGCCAAAAACAATGACTTCTGGTTCCATTCCTTTTTTAACCTTTCCCAGATCTTCTTGGCAGTTGAACCATGTAGCGGCCCCGTACATTACCAAATCATCCATTGCTAAGTCAGGAACCTAGCAAAAATAACAGGTTGTATATTAATTATCACATCATTCAGCAATGGGTGTATCTAGGGTTAAAAGGTCAGAGATTTGCATGCTTGCAATGTGGTTATATATGGTAATCCTCAATGAGGTCAAAGTTGAAAAGTTTACATGGGTGGGATAGGTCAAAGTTGAAAGGTCAGCATGCTTTGGGTATTGTTTTAACAACCTTTAGTGAAGTCAAAGAGGAAATTAAGTTACTGGGTATTTTTTAACATTGCTCAGAGATCAAAGTTGAGAGGTCATCTTGCTTGGGGTAGCAGGGGGTCAAAGTTAGCATAATCATGATATTTTTTAATTGAGAAGATGGATAATAATGGTAATAAGCTTTCATTAAGGAATGCATCTATAATGGCCTGGTTGTGTGAGGGTGGGGGCTGTAGGTGGGGGTGTTGTATGTTAATTGCATAATTTATGTGAAACCATAGAAACAAGTTATCATAGCTTGGCATGAGGATTGCTATCCAGAGAGAGAAAGAAAGTTCAAGGCTGGATGTGAGAAGACTTATCACTAAGACATGCAAATGTTATAAAGTAATTCCATGCACGCAGATGACTAAACTTGCCTTGACACCTCCATACTGTGGACACATACACACAGTGGATGGGAAAAATGAAATAATAAAAAAAAGTAAGCAACATATTTGAAATAAAATTAAAAAAAGCAGAGATGCAATGCACAAAGCAGAAAGTACCATTTACTAAACCCTGACATGGTATGCCAAGATCACTGAATGGAAAAGGAAACTAGCTGTCAGAGTATGTGTGTATTTTAATTAATATTTTAATGAATGTTGGATGTGCTATATGCATTTCGTTCAAACACAATTAATCAGTCACCCTCATAAATTTGGCCCCAAATCAATAAAACACAAGGAAAGCCAAGAAATGTCAAAAATTAACCTAAAATGAAAGATTATTGAGGTGAATAAAAACAATGTTGAAAACATTTTAGTAACCATGGAAACAGGAAAAATTTGAGTCTTTGATAAAATTCAAAAGGATTGCAACTTGAGAAAAGTAAGAAAATGTTCTATAACCATGTCTATTTATTTTCGATGACAGAATATAGTGATTCACAATGAAAGTTCATAAATCAAAATAAAAGGTTAAAGGTTAAAATGGAAGGTCAGTCAGATATAAAAAAACAGGAATGATGGGGTAACAATGACAACAATAAGAAGCCATTTTGTTTTGAATGGATTTATCACATTAATCAATATGTAATATCAAAAACACAAATAATAATAACTTTTAAAACTTGTGACATTTAATATCAGTTTAATCTAAAATTTACTATTCTTAATAAAAAATCTGGACACTGAGAGAGTTGAAATCAAAACATAAAAGAGGGGAAAAAAAAATAAAACTATAAAACCTAACCACCCTACACAACAAACTAGTTTGTAATGTGTTGTGATCCTAGGAACTGACCTCTCTTTTAAGATGATATTGGTCTTGTATTAAGTTTTCAAATATATCTCCGTACTCTTCATGCACTTTCATCATATCATTGATGTGTTCAGCTACTTTCTCCATTCCCTTTAAAGCTTCTGACAGGTGATAATGTTCATCGTTTTCAGGATCTGTGTGTGATTTCAGCTCTCTCAGCAGCAGTGGGTATTTCAGTACTCTCTGATAGGTTAATTATAAAATATTGTTCAGTAATTATGATAAAAAACAAGAAAGCCACATGATATGATTTTCTATAAATTCTTTATTAATTTTGGACCAAATGGATGCAATTTATTACTAACTACATGTCTTGATCAAAGTTATTAAATAAGCAGCCTCTTGGCTGAGATAGCTCTGCTGTTAGCAATGGATATTTAAATTAAAGAATTAAAGATATCATCATGAAATGAACAAATCTGAGAGAGGTCCACCTGTAGTAACTATATGTATCTAATATCAAAGCAATCAGACATGCAGTTTTCAATAAAAAGTCGAAAATATCACTTTTTACCAAAAATTACAAAAATATTCATCAAAATTAGAGATTTAAAGATATCATCATAAAATGACCAAATCTAAGAGAGATATACACCAGGTATCAAAGAAAAAGTTGCCACAAACGACGATAGACAGTCAATAATATGATTAGCTGCACTTGGCAAAGTCAACAGCGGAGCTAAAAAATTGTGACAAAAGTGACATAAATTTGACATTGGTGTCCAAATGATTTGAAGTACTTGACTGAAGCATGCATTCAACCATCACACTGCAACTCATAAATAAGACAGTATTTGAAAGTTTTACCAGCATATACAGACACTGTTGCTTATAAATCATCACAAAAAAATCACAGCTCTTCAATGATCAATAACAAATTAAAATGCCTGACAAAAATACTGTAATATTGAAAACTTTTTTTCTTGTATTTTAATAAAAAAATAATTATGAAAAAAAACTTACTTGTATGGGTTTGATAAGATAGGAACTCAATGAAGATGAATGTTGATGTTTTGGATTCCTGGCTTCCAAAAATTCACGCAAACATTTGTTACCCCGAGCTGGATCCAGTATTTTTTGTGCTTTGGAATGACTGGCACAGAATGTACTATAGAGCTTGAAGTGATCCACATAGAATAGAAATGAGCCTCCTATAGAAAACAATATCCTCTGAAAAAATAAGAATAATTTAAAAAATTAAATGGCTGCTGTAAGCATGATTTTTTGTTTTGCTAAAAATAATATAGATTTGGTTAGTTAGTATATATTTGGTGATGAATGTACTGTGAATCGCTTTCATTTCCTGAGCACAGATTTTTCGCCAATTTCATGAGCCAGCGTGAAATTTTGTAGCATTGAAAAATTCTGAGGTGAAGTGACTTTTCAGAAAATTTTGACTTTGCAAATGCCGTAAAATCATTGAATTGCGAAAATCTCAAGCAATGAAAATAAAGCGGTCTACTAATGTAGAAAAAAAAACATCAACTAGAGAAAAGAAGTATCATTCAGTGGTACGATATATATCTAGTGCGAGTATTCTCAAACTAGTGTAGTGGCTAATTTGCATAACAATCACCACAATTATATTCATTGTTATGGTAATTGTGGTCTATTGTAGCTCTAATTCTCTAGACAAAACACTTAACTTTTCAGTAAACATTTTCCCACGAATTTTGGTCAATAATTAACTGTATGAATAATAATTATTAAAATCTATGTATTTTAGTAAAAAATTTGTTAAAATACATATTGACTCACTCTAAACTGTATGGGTGTCTCTATATCATAGAAATTAGGTTCAAGTTGAATAGCTTCTTCTAAACTGTGCAAAAAAGTCTCTTGGAATGATACAATGTCTTTGATATTACCAAATAAGGCATCAAGCTGAGGAGAAAAAAGAAATTGATGATAATTATCAGTGCTTCTTGCGACAGTTCACGCACTATAGTATATGACTGGATGGCAGGGTTTCAGTATTACTGAAATGAAGATGTCATATTTCTCTCTATATATATACCGGTACATAAGAAGAATACATGAGACGACAGATGAACTGTGATGAAACAGTATTTGGAATAGAACAACATACACTAGGATGAATAATTTACTTTATAGAATGGTGTCTGTCAGAAGAATTTAATGAAATCATAGATTTTAATTGGTGTTTTTTTTCATTGTTTATTTTACAAAGAAATAAAAAATAACATAAAACTGATTTGATTCTGTGAATCTATTACAATTTAGAATTCATGTAATCTCTAAGCTCCTCACCACTTCCCTTCTTTCTCTTATGTTTCAGAATTATGTGTTGATGAAGAGGTTGATAACAAAAAAATGACAATACTTGTAATACTATAAATAAAGTTATAATCATTGCCCAAATAGAGGTTCTATAAAATAACAACTAATCTTATATAGCGCCCTCTTGAGGTTTACAGAGGTTACAGATCACTTACAATAGTGTGATTAGTATCAGTCAAGGACAGGCCCTCTATGCAAAGACTTACCTCTCAACTGTGAGAAAAGCTTCATTTTGTAACGGCTCTAAGTATCGCAACATCAGGCAGTTCAAATCTTTCACGTATGACCTCTCCGTGTCAAGCAACTCCAGAATCACCTTACGTATCTTCTGAGCTGTTGACATGTGCTTCACAGTCGTTTCATGCTGGTCGTCAAAATCTTTGAAGCTATTCGTCTCCTTGCAATCAAAGTCTCTGATATTCAACTGTCGACAGAATGCCGTTACTTGCTCCGCATTTTGCAGAAGCGAATCAATTTGTTCGTTACTAAGTTCGGGGAATTCCTTGTCCGGGGTTAGCGTGGGTAGCGGTATACCACTTGAAGATCTTTTCGGTGACATTGTTCGACTGTCATCATACTCTGCATAATCAGAATAAAACGTTAATGAAAAATCAAAGTTTTCTATAAATATTTTTGTTTTATTTTATTCCTGAAGTATGAACTTAAATCCTTCAGTAATCAGATCTGTATTCAAGTTTAAACTTAAGATACTGTTAAGTACATTTTATTATTATCTATTTTTATTAATTATTTTCACTTGCATTTTATTATTTTTGATGAAGGAATGAATCAGTAAAAATAAAATCCAGTGAAAATACTTTTTCTCTACATTTTACATAAATCAGTGAAAATAAACTTCATACAAAATGGTCAAAATATCTTTTCTGTGAAAACTAATTCTAGCTAAAATAATAAAAGTATTTTACAGAAAGCAAAAATAAATTGGGGACACAAATTCAAGTTTCAGAAACATCAGATTTTAATCTATTTTTATTCACCGGTAAAATAGCTGCCATCCCAAGCCTAAACTAGTGTGATACTACAGAAATGTGATTGCCACGGAAACAAGTTCAATGACCCATTATTGTTTTGGTAATTTTTTAAATCTACTTCCCAATGAATAAGTGAAAATATTATTGATGAAATTTAAAGGAATTTTCCAAAATATATGATAAATTTTTTTAGAACAACACTAGTTCAAACATAGGGACCTACTGTCTTTAAATAAGTCAATTCCTGAAATGAATAACATTAATGCGTAACTTTGATAACAATTGTTTGTTTTGAATTTCAACCAATCCTACTCCACACTGATGAGTAGTTTCAGTAACCATGGGCGACAGACTGTACCTTAGTTATTTCAGTACTCCTTAGGTTTTCCACTAGACTAACATGGTTACACAATGATTTTCATAGCAGTTACTATGGCAACAAAGAAAAGCATGTCTGGCATTAGAAATAAATTAAAAATGAAATTCTCATCAACTCACCACTAGGTGCGGGCACTATGAGATCGTCAATCAAATCATCACTGATTCTGAACTGCGTTGGCGGTGGTGGACACGTCAACTGATCAATGTACTGATCCGTTTCTTTGGCGATTTCTGACTGAATGTAGACTTTCGGCAGGATCGAACTGTTAAAGTCAGAGCCGTTTCTTGTTGTATGACTTGTTCTATGTATAACATGTCCAAGTCGCATACAACTTTACCGTTGATTACCAACAGTTCGTCTCCAATTTGTAAGTCTGTAACGAGAGTGACAGTGATGATTAATCAATCAGCGTTTCATTTATAACAAACAATAAAGGAATATCAAAATTTTTAGTTGCTAAGCTACCTCCTCTCTGGTTGCTAAGCTACTTAGCAGCCACCGGTGTTTATTCTGTGATGGGAAATGGTTGAATACAGAATTGACAAAACCATGCACAGGCTTGGCAGGTTAAGTAACAACAATAAAACCCAAAACACAGAATAATTTGCACATATTCATACTATGATAGTCACATATGTCACATGATAGTCACATGATAGTCACTACAACAAATATCATTTTAGGGTGCAATGTTTTTTTTTCTAAATATTATAATTTCCTTATATTGAATTCAGTGCTAAAGTGCAAGTGGACATTCAGCTCTGGGAATCAAACCCACGGCCTACCTGAAGAGAAATGAACACACTATATATATAAACCACTACACCATTACTCTAAGTATAACTTAAATAACAAAAATTATGTAAGAAAATCACATCAATTTGATGTATATTTCGTCAAAGTTTTGTGAACATGAATGCAGATAGAAATCATATTTAAATTCTCACCTTGATGATATGCTAAACTACCGGAATGAATCTCACTAATAAATACACACAGCTGATCTTCCTGTTCTGAGTCTTCACCAAGTTCAGCCTCGATCTGAAATCCTGCAATATTAATAATTTTGGTAACTTGAAGATTAAGGACTTGTGGAAAAACAAATTGCATTTTTTCAAATATTGTTTGTGTCTGGCGATAGATACTGAAGTCACTGCCAATTGCAATTGTTTGGGAAGCAGACTGTACACTGATTTATACTGTTGAGTAAACAGTTTGCTCTAGGAATCAAACTCAGAACCTCCCTGATTCATGGTGAACATGCAGCCACTGATCAGGTTCTTAACAACCACATATGCCAAGGGCAAATAAATATAAGGGTGCATAACTTGTATTACTATGCATGATAATATAGAAAGTTCACTGAAAACATGTGAAACGAATTTAGGTATTAGAAGATAAGGGGCAGTAAGGGAACCTCTGATTGGCCAGTTAGCTCCATCATTTGATAAATTAGCCAATCCAATGGACTCACCAAATGTCATTGTTGGATCATCATTGTATTTATATAGCTCCACTTGGTGTATACTCTTTGGCAGTACTTCCACCTCATCATATTCCTAATAAAATATAATATATAATGTAGAAATAAAAGTTATAGTTCCAATTTAAGCAGATTGAATATTTCCCTGTAATGCTATCATCTGACTGCTATAAACCACAAAACAATTAGATCCCAAGTCAGTTGCTTGGTATGAAAGAAATCTGGTTCATAGAAAGAAATTAATTATTCAAAAATGAAAAAAATCAATGTCCATCTGTTTCCGACCAAGCTTGATAAAATTGAGAAGAGAAAATCAATAACAATCACGCCACTCTGTCAACATTTCCATTTTATAAAAACAAATTTAAGTAAGGATTCAGAATGTGTTGCTATAGCAACAATTTCACTCATTGTTCTCTATGGAACTAGCTCATACACGTGTACCTGTAACTGACGTACGTAATGCTATAAATTCAGAAAAATACCAAGACACATTGTCTAAAATTGGTTTCTACGGAGACATTTCTACTATTTAA